AATTTAATAATGGTATGTGCGGGGGGGGGCGGGGGCGTTGCCTTTTGACGCGCCTTGGGGTGCTGCTTCTTCCCACCCCCGCTACTTGCCCCTCCCTTTCCTCCACGGCCGGATGCCCCCCCTCCCCCCTTCGGCGTGGAAGGCGTGGCGGACGCGCCCCCTGCCGCGGCCACCCACGGGAGCGGTTCGGGGGCCCCGCCGACCAGACTCTTGGGGAGGCAGGGGGGTACCCTGCACTTTAGCCGTGCGTCGAGGGAGATGAGCTTCAAGCTCGCGTCGGTTGTTAGGGGCGCCACCAGGGTACCGAACGCCACAAAGGTTTGGCCCCGCTCTTTGGCGGAGTCGAGGGCTCTCGGAGGGGCTAGCCGACCGTCCTCGTAGTAGATTGAAAAGCTGAAGGGGGGGGGGGAGGGGGACGCGTCGCAGCAGACGAAAGGTCCCTCATTGAGTCCCTGTGATGGTTGTTATGGTTCATGGTTCCAAGGCCGCCGACAGCACGTGCTGTAGCTAGAGCGGCACCACTTTGATGCAGGTAAATAGCGCAATCGTACGAAGTATAATAGTGGGCAACAGGATGGCTTTCACAAAAGTGTGTACAATACTCCTGTTGTGTACCTATGCTTGACTTCGGGAGCATGTCGGGAAAACAGAACAAGTCACGTCCACGCATGCTCAGAGCGCTCAGAGCCTAGAGTTCCCAACAACAACCTACGGGGGCAACACAGCAAAGGAACACAAAAAAATGCTCTGCATACCGCTGTAGGCTTGTTGACGAAGCGACACAGCAAGCTTACATAGTGTAATGGGACAGCAGAGACGAACATATCGTATTTTAGTATAGCTGAAGCTTCGCATCGAGCGGCCGGCGTACGTGTCGTCTGCATCAACGCGGCTGCAGTTGGCGCCACGAGGAGACACGGGCGTGCTGGAACCGATAGAAGTAGCATCCCACACGACGACAAACATGAACCGACCGCTTCGAGTCCGTGAAGTCGTTGATCGAATGCTCCTGCTGTCTTTGGGGTGAATTTCGTGGCCTACAATTATATCCAGCTCTTGCGAGACAGCAGGCCAACTTCAGGCGATTACTAAGTACTCATTGAAGAGCACGCGGTATACACAATGGCGGCGGGAAAAGGACCGACCCACTGCTGTAGGTGTGCCATGCTGCTTCTCATCGCCCTCACCGCCCAATCTCCAGATCAAAGGCCGACACTCAATCCCAAGAAGGAAAAATACCCGAGGGCTATAATAGCAGCGCTGAGTGTGGTGATGGTGTGGCAGCATTTGAAATGGCTTGTATCCTAGCGAACACGTGATGTGAAATTCACCTTCTTCAGTGTATACAACAAGTACTGTACTCGGGATTAGCTAATACTGGCACTCTCCCGTCTATCCTACAAGCAGACTTCGAAGTACTGCTGTATCGAAAGATGTTCCGACAGCGAAACGTATTTGAAAAGAAATGGCGGGCGCTCCGACATGCTTCCCCCCGCAGCGAAAGCGCGTTGAAGTTTCGAGCATACTGCTGCGGCAACGACATCACCAACACGTGGCATCGTGCCAACCCACCCCTTCGACAATGCCAACACTCACGAAGCCGGTCAATAACCTTTGCCTCCCTGCCGCAAGCACACGCCCCACCCCGGCCGGGACGGTGATGTCTGAGGTTCGGTGAACATTCAACTTTTTCAGTAAATCTCTATCGCTGTGCCGCCATCAGCCGCGCGCGTGCGACCACAAGGCTTTCAGTTTGCGGCAGCGACAACAACCGTTGCACCCCCAACCAACCGGTGTGTCCAAGCACTTTGAAGCAGCACCCGCGCAGTCGGCGCCTTGAAATGCACAACAACAGCAGCAACCATACGACAAAACCAGCTCGCTCTTGAAGTCAACATTTGAAAGCTGCTCCCCAAATGGCCAACGTCTGCGGCTGTCTGCTGTTTCTTTTCTCCGCGCGCGACAAACATGGTGCTGCTGTCTGTGTGTTGTCTTTCTTCGAAAAACACGAGAGAAAAAATCAAAGAGAAGCGGGGGGAGCGTGAGAACTGACTCGAGGTGGTCTTCTAACTCGCCCGCCGCGACTCCCGCGCAAATAAAGCTCCCCCCGCCCACGCAAGAAGCACGGCCTACCTGTCGAGCAGCCGGAGCTTGTCTCCATCCAGGTCTTCGTACGAATCAAATTCAGGCCCGACGTCTCGCTCTTCCAGCTCCGGTTCAGCCTCGGACGCGTTGCTGTGGCCCAAGAAGGCCAGCTCGTGGAAACCTCGTGGGTCAGCTTCGTCCTGGGGCGGCTCGCTCCCGGCCCAGGCGGCGCCGCCTTCCTCAAGCCGCGGAGGCTCGGCCGGGTCCATATGGAGAAATGCAGCTGTCCTCGCCCACGCTGTCTCTATATGGCCCTTTGCCTCTCCTGTCTCCGCGTCGCGCGACTCGAAAAACGTGTGCTGTTGAGTCTCCTTTTGCCTCCAAGCGCCAACTGACACACACAAGAGCTTCTAAGTTGCTACACTTTTTATCGCCGTGCAGTCGTGCTCGTTGAGTTGCTCCAACTCTCTCTCTCTCTCCGTCTGCCTGCGAAATTTTCGAGGCAGCCGCCCCCGGGAACCACCAGCGGTGTGGTGCCCGATCACTACAATAGCAGTATGTACGCTGCTTCACGAGACGCACAACGAACAAGGCGCGTTTTATTAGAGAGGGTCAACTCGGGGGGCACGAAGACTGGCCAGGTATTTCCTACAATAAGCTGTGGGGGGGGGGGGGGTGACGTGCGCTGGAGGTGGCTGTTCTGCACGCTCGCTCGCTGGAGTGCACACAGCAGCTAGGCGCGCTCTACTGCCGTCGTTTTCCCTGCACGTAAGGCTCCTTTCCTCTCACACACGGCGCGCTCCCCGTCTGCACCCCTCTCCAACGCGCCTCAAATTGTCTTCGGGCAGATCGCTTCCATCTTGGCGTTTTGCAAAAGACGGTGCGGGATCAACCGCATCTCATCGTCGCAGCAGACGAAATACGAGTAGCAGAGAAAGGGCGAGGAGAGCATCACCCTGCCTGGCGGAGTAAGCAAGCTTGGCACGGCGGTAGCGTTCGGCAGCAATCGGGTGGCTTGGATAGATCAAGGGGGCTCAAGGCAAGAAGTGGACCTAAGGAGGCGCTGAGGGACTATGGCTTCGGCGGAAGTGATGGCAATGCCTGTAGACACGCCAACAGGAGATGCTGCAGGCAAGGAGCGGCAGCATCAGGCAGCAGCAGATGACGCCGGCGCAGCCCAGGATGTCTACGTCAAGCTCAAGTCTCTGCAGAAGCACATGGAGTTCCTTGACATCCAGGTAAGTCTCTGGCGGCAAGTGCGACGTATTTTTGTATCAGGTGCTTCGCTGTTACGTTGTGGCATACCGCCATGATGGCGGTGGTGCGGAGATCTCTCGACTTCGGTGTGCCTCTGCTCTCTACGTCAAAAACAAGATAAAAAAATGTATACGTGACAAATCGGTCACCCATGATGTCAACGACACTTTCGTACAGTACTGCTACAGTACTGTGCGGTACACTGCCCAGCGGGCAGGTCTGAGTAAGGTTGATCCCACAGCTGGGCGAAGAGTTAACCACCCAAACACACGCGAGAAACGCGCGTAGATATAGATGCCCTTCTGCGGAAATAAATAAATAAATAAATGGCCCTTGAAAATTGTTTGGCGACGAGTAATGCAATTACAGTAGCGGCTACGGTTTAAGAGAGGGTCGGTACAAGCCAATTTCACTCTCTTAAATCCGGCTTTCTGTTATATCGTGTTGGCTACGATATAAGAGAGAATTTTCTTAAACAGAATCTCACTTTAAGAGAATTCTCTCTTATATCGTAGACAAAACTGAAGGTCGTGAAACAGGGGCTCTCGCGCACTGACTACACTCGAATGCCAAAATAGGTCATAAAGAGAGCGTATCATGCATGTCGCTTGCGCAGCTAGCGTTACCACGTCGGGCTACCTCCAAACACCGCTCATTTTCTTGGTTGGCAAGCACGTGGACCCAAGCACTGCTGTACGTTGTACGCTTTTGGTGGATCTGCGTTCGGAAAAATAAAACATCGTCGTGTGATGCGATGCACATCTTTGCACGTGGACACGTAAAAGGTTTTGGTTGAGTTGTTTTATAGCTGGGTTTCATAGTTGCACCTCTTCTAGAAGGACAACACGAGGCGACGAATGCACCAGCACTCAAGAACGACGCACCCGTTTACACACTGCACCTTCCTCCCACCGTACCCTCAACATATGTAACACCCTCATACCTCTCATCCCATCGATTTGAACCCCCGACAAAAACACGAGTCAACGAACAAAAAACAGCTTCACAATATCAAAACATCACTCGCCGTACAAATAACACAAACCCAAGAAACCAACGCTACCCTGGCGACCTGTCAGCCTGAACACGATCTGCGCTGCAACCGTCAAAGGAAGTCGCTCATGCACGTCTGCTTGGTTTCCCTCGAACCGTAGGCACTCATCCACGCTAGCTTAGCCTTGCGGAGGTGAAAAGACACTTCGGACATACATGCGGCACTTCTCGGCAGTATCCTCAAGTTCACCAAAATGATTTGCTACATTCGCGTACGGCGGCGGAGCCGGGGCCGCTGCCGCCGCCGACTGTCCCGATTGGCGTAGCTCAACCAGGTCGTCGTCCTCGTCGTCAGAGGAAAGATCCATGCCCACCAAATTCTCATCACAGAGGTCCTCTACCATCTCTGTAACGATCGCTTCGGCTACCTCCACGTTGTCCTCTACAGCCTGAAGTCATGCGCTCACGGGAGGAAAGGCAGTTGTGGCAGATGCGATGCATCTCGGAGGTGCCCTGAGGGTCCACCACACCACAGGTGCCATGGAGGTACTGCCTGCAGACTCCTCTACATTGGTGGTTTGTGAACGCCGGCGGGCCTGGCGTGTGATCGGGGACAGCCGTGCAGCGACTGCCCGCCACGCAGGGCATGGTGTCTGCAGCTGTGTGGGTGTGTGTGTCCACGTGGTTTCCACATTGTTCGATTTAAGAGAAAAATCCCAGCTGCAAAAGGAAATTTCTCTTAAATCGATTGTTATTGGTACACGCCAATTCCTCTCTCTTAAATCCGTACTTTCTCTTAAATAAGTTCTCTTAAACCGTAGCCGCTACTGTATAGAAATCGGCAAGAACCTTGTACAAATATATGATGGGTAAACCTCGTCCAACCTACATGTAGGTACGATCGGAGTCGCGTGAGATACCACACCCCCTCGACAAGTTTGCAAAGCTCAACTACTCTGCAGCAAACACCGCGACGGTACCGACAAATGGCGGCGTTGGAACAGCAGTGTCGTCGAGAGCATCCCGACAACAGCAGTGCTGTTGTCGTTTGATTTATTGTCATCCTCTTGGTCGCGAATCGAGCTGACATGGAAAAACGGTCTAGGGGGTGTGGTATCTTACGCGACCTACGGTACAGTGTACGTATCAGCACGTTGTGGGTTCGGGTCTCTCTCGGAAGGCGTCTGTTGCGTTATACACGTTCTGCTGCGTCACCCTGGCTGGTGTGTCAAACCCATCTATCTGTGTACATACAGTGAAAAGTGTTGGCGGCTGGGGCCCGGTATCTATGCGGCGAAAAGAAACATGGACATTACTCCCGTGTCCTCGGCAGACCTAAACATTTAGATAGCGATTGATCAAACACGTGCCCGCCATTGCAGAAAAAAATAGCGCCTCCTGAACGGAGTATTGTACATTTTGTGGCATGTAGAGAAAATCTACGAGTCTAACCTTGATCTGATCAAGGCGGGCATCAATCATCGGCTTTCGCCTCTGTACCCGATAGGGCCATCTCTTTCTCGACCTGATCATGTTGGGGCTGGTTATTGCGGTGTGGTCATGTGTACAGCAAATAGCAACGAGAGGTCGGAGATGCTCTGTAACGGCGTGTGGGCCTTCCTCCTCGGCCGCAGCAGCGTGCCTCCGAAAACCTCCTACAAACCCCCACCTGAAGGTTTTTCTACTCAATAGCCGGTCAGAGCAGCAGTAATAGCTTCCTACAGACCACCTGCCTAGACAGAGCCAACTCCTCTCTGTCTGCTGCAGCTTCCCCATGTCTTCTTTCTGTGCAAGACGTCTCCCTCAATTCTGCTGCTGTTTCGCTCTTTTTGTTGGTGTAGTTCTCCCCCCCCCCCACGAGGGAGGAGAGATTGACTGCATGCATGCACCCGTGGGAGCACAGCTGTTTCCGGCCTGCAATCCATGCACACGGCACGGGGGGGCTTCCGCATTTTTCGGGAGAAAACCCATTTAAGGCTATCGTTGGCATAGGCTTCGCTTGCGTTACCATTTCAGCACAGCAGCGGTGATCTCAACAACACAAGCGGACGCTTCGGTGCCTTCGGGACAAGGGGGAGGTTTGACGCTGGGTATCCTTATGAGCCGGACCCAGGAGAGGCCGTCCCTCGTCTACTACCTATTTATCTGTCGGGGATCGATTGTTGAGGTTTGTTGCCGACGCCCGCCTTTCCTTCGGTCGGCTGCTGAGTCACCCCTCGTGTGCATGGATCCGACCGCACCTGCTGAGAGACCGGCCTTGTGCTCGCTTTGATCTAACGGTATCACGCGCCGGAACGAATAACCGTACCACATGTTTTCTGGGTGGGTGTTGCGCAGGAGGAGTACATCAAGGACGAAATGAAGAACCTGAAGCGGGAGCTCATCCGGGCGAAGGAGGAGATCAAGCGGATCCAGTCGGTGCCGCTGGTGATCGGGCAGTTCAACGAGATCATCGACGCGAACTACGGCATCGTCGGTGAGTCTTGACTTACTCAAGGCAAACAAACATTTAAATAGTCTGTTGCGGCCCTTATCTTGTGCCATGCCAAGAGAGCTGTGTCACCTGCTGTGCACGCAACTGCAGTGCACCGTGTATCTCTTTCCGCATGCCGAATTTTTGGGTGCAAAGTGAGACAAAATCTCCCAGTTTTTGTGACTGCGCCGCGAGTCAATTCCATGGCAAACCTCTCCACAAGGCTGCGCGATTATCAGCCGAGACACACGGCCACCGTTGTAGACTCACCTCTGGGTGGAGGGTGCGTGTGTGCCCGCTGTAACATTGCGTCGGTGAAGACCTGAGACTGACTTAACTCCGCTTGAAGGATGCACCAGCACCACGGAAGTAGACGCGTCCCATGCTGTACAGTATCTACGCCAGCCATTTCGATACTGGCCAGCAGGCTGACGATTGCACCGATGCTTTGGTTACGCGATTGGGAAAGTAAAAGTTGGGTAAATTAGATTCCCTCGACCGCGTAGCAGAAGACACAGACGTTTTGCGCGTTGTGTGAGGACTTCACCCCCATTCTGTTTGTTACACTGCCCGGGCCATGTTCTGTTTTGCGGATCATCGACGGTATCGGACCATTTTCGTGACACGTTCTCGGGTGTTTTTCCCTCCAGATTCCCGTGGTGTCCGGCCACTTAGAACGCCTACCTCACTCAATGAAGCGCGGATCTGAGGCTTACCATGGTTTACCATGTACAGCACTCGAGCATTTCGTACATGCCGGAAAAGGGGGAAGAGGAACGGGGCGGTCATGGTCGTAAATCCTCTGCCGCTGTTAGTCCTTGTCACACCCGCTTGGTTCGTACCGCGAAGTGTGCGTTCGCGTCCCCCGCGGCTAGCGTAGCCAACAGACCACCAACACGAAAAGACTGCCCACGGGGGAGATATCACTGCGTGCTGCTCGGGAAATCGTGGGAAAACACAGGTTTCGCTGACTGTATGGATTCATCGCTAATCTATCTTAGAATCTTTTCTTCGATAGAGATGGATTCTGATGAAATAAAAAAGACTGCTGTCCGTTTAATTACATCCGCACACCCACCCCCCCGCGTGCATCGTGTATGTATGTATCTTGTAGGGTCGACGGCGGGATCGAACTACTTCGTTCGCATCTTGAGTACCCTGGACCGAGAGGTGCTAAAGCCGAACACGTCAGTAGCGCTGCACCGCCACAGCCATAGCGTGGTGGAGATACTGCCTCCGGAGAGCGACTCCACGATCCAACTCATGCAGGAGAGGCCGGACGTGACGTACCACGACATCGGGGGCATGGACATGCAGAAGCAGGAGGTGGGTGGGGGGATCTTTCTCTGTCTCTCTCTCTCTCCGTTGCGTTCGTGCCACAAGTGTTACCTGTCGTTGTTTAATCTGAAGCAGGACGTGGGGGGTGGGTCGGTCTGTTGGGGGTTAATTCTGTCTTTCGTCGGTTTCTCCTTTTCTTTCGTGCTCCAAGCGCTCGCTGCCTGTGGTTCTTCAATCTGTGGCCTTCCACGCTATTTTTCAAGCTTCGTTGTTGTTGTGCCTACACATGCCTCCGTGTTCCGCGCTGCCGGTATTGCGGAATTGCACTTTCCCCACAGGAGAACAGTTTGAGTTTCAGCGGTAGAGGTTCTTGTTTAAGGCCGGTTGCCCTGCTTAAGGCTGGTGAAATCTCGTGGCATGCACAGATGGAATATTCGAGTTTTTTCGTACTCTAAATAGTGCCGGGTGCCCGATACAAGGCCGGCGAAATAATCCGTTGGACCATCGCGACCTTGGAACAGGGAACTGTAGTTGTACTAGAAGCAGGGTAGCCACGGTGACACCATTAAAACTCGTACAAAACTACGAGGAGCGGCAGCAGCGTGCTTTTCCAACTCTTCTGAAGCAGTCCCTCTCCTCCCTCCGTCCATCCCTCTCGACCCGTCAACTCAGGTGAAGGAAGCGGTTGAGCTCCCGCTGACGCACTTCGACCTGTACAAGCAGATCGGCATCGACCCCCCGAGAGGTGTGCTCATGTACGGCCCTCCGGGAACGGGGAAGACGATGATGGCCAAGGCCGTGGCTAACGCCACGAGCGCTTCGTTCATCAGCGTGGTAAGTGCAGGCGGGGGGACACCAGTCGGACACCAAGCATGCTCGTCACTAGAGCAGTTACAGCAGTAGCTGATATTGTACCAGTACGGTTTAAGAGATTGTTTTTGAGGGAAAGCATGTACTCTACGTACTGATTTGGGTGAGTATTTTTTGTATTTTTGGCTTGCTCCGATCCTCTTGTTAATCGATATATACAACAGTAGTAGCAGCTGCTGTTCTTTGAAGTAAACGAAAGTCTGCCTTGTTCTTTGAAACCCAGTGTCCAACAGTGCCGGTTTGTGCCGCTCGCTCGTGTACATTCGCCGCTAGGTCTACCACAGCGTCCGTTGGTCGCGACTCTTCCCCGCGTAATCTATGCTTGTCCTATTATATTATAGTCGGGATTAATAGGTACGGTGTGGGCGGTGTCATGTGAACAACAGGAGAAGATACAACCATGAGACTCAAGGGACTAGAGTAATCCTGAAGCTACCCGCATGAATGCCCATCGTGGTCAAACCTGTGTGTAGCAACCGCTGCCGTGACCCCGTCTCAAATCGTCCGAACGGCGAAAATTACGAATGTCCACTCGTCCGTACCAACAGGTGGGGTCAGAGTTCGTGCAGAAGTACCTTGGGGAGGGGCCCCGCATGGTGAGGGACGTCTTCCGCCTGGCGAGGGAGAACTCCCCTAGCGTGGTCTTCATCGACGAGATCGACGCCATCGCCACCAAGCGCTTCGACGCGCAGACCGGAGCTGACCGCGAGGTGCAGCGAATCCTGCTCGAGCTGCTCAACCAGATGGACGGTTTCGACCAGAGCACCAACGTTAAGGTGAATAATGACGGTTTCAGCAGCCAGCGTGTGATAATGATATTTTGCAGCTGCCGTCGGGATGGTGTTTATGAGGCGAGGCAAATTTGATTTGGCTCGTCCACGCACCTCCCAAGGCTCACCAATTTTTTTTCCGCGGAGGGCTCCACGGTTTTTAAGTGTCTCGGGTGACTGATGACCGTGGCGACGGTTTGATCATCCACCGGCTTTTTGGCCTGCACACGCAATGCTATTACCTCCTAAACCCACCACTTGCTTGTCTGTATCAGGTGATCATGGCGACGAACAGGGCGGATACGCTGGACCCGGCTCTGCTGCGGCCGGGGAGATTGGACCGGAAGATCGAGTTCCCGGTGCCGGATCGACGGCAGAAGCGCATGGTGTTCACGGCTTGCACCGCCAAGATGAACCTTAGCGAGGTGTGTAACCGGTTGACATCTGTTTTCTTGCCCCCCCGCCACCAACAAAAAAAACGCACCACAATCTTGCGTGCCTGGACAACACAATTAACATGGTTCCGGTGTAACTGCTGTGCTTTTTGACTGCTGTATTTGTCTTGGGGGTTCCGCTGCCTTGTGCTGTCTGCATGGCACGGTGCCGGTGCTCGCGCACAATGAAGAAGACACGGTACCCGCTTAGCCAAGCACACAGAAACAACGGCAGTCGCACCGCACCCTGCCACCAACCGATGCACCACAGGCCTTGCGATAACTACTCGCTTACGGAAGGCATGCAACACATGAGCCGAAAAAAAAACTTGTACAATAGGGGAAGGCACCCACCCACCCACCCATGTCTCGGCGCGAAGTCCACGCCCCTCGGTCTGCTCTCGACTCACATAACGCCCATAATAATCTGGCCAACACACGGCTGTTGAGCACTGCCATGATGATGATGGCATGTGCTGCTGCTGCTCTTGCTGCTGCTGTGATCACTCAGGGCGTTAGTGCCTCGTGTGCGTGCTTTCTTTGCTCTCGCCACGCGTGCTTATCTATCTGCTCACCGCACATTCCCTCTCTCGTCTCCCCAGCAACCCAAAAGCAATCAAAGTTTAGTTGAGAGGGAGGTGTAGAGATTGACGAAATCGCAGACAGCCTCCCGTACCTGGAGCACCTGTGTGCGTCCCGTTCTTCCTGGCGCTTGTCTACACGCCTCTCGGTGTACATTTTTGCCACGTACAGCATCAACCAGGGTCACACGGGAGCTTTTTTAATTTATTTTAAATATTATACTGCCCCACTTTTTCCCTCCTGCGGTGTGTGATGTGAAAGCCTCCCATCAGCGCGGTGTGAAAGCCTTCCGCCGTGTGTATGATCGGCTCCTGTGGTGGTGTGCAAAGATGAGTTGATGCCAGGGGGTGCGCCCGTCGTGTTAGTTGTTGGCTGCTGTGGCGTGGCGTGGCAGCACTACAGCAGTACCTTCTTGTCTTGGTTTTTTGCCCGTTGGCTTTGTTCCAAGCATGTGCTGGGAGTGCGCAAGCAAAGCGAAGCAGAGCGGCGGTGTGGCTGTAGGCTGCCGCAATATCACATCACATCCACAAAACGCCCTTTCTAATAGATACGAGTGTAATGCCGAGACCGCACAGGGGGCGGGGGGGCTAGGGTGTCGTGGAGCTTGTACTGCAATTGTACAGACGGCGGCTTAGCTTACGTTCGTTCTTCGCGCCGCACGAGTCGTTTGATTTTTCTGCGATGCTGTTTGTGTTGCTGCGAGGCACCGAAAGAAGCACGCGAGCGTGTTGAACGCGAGGGGCATAGAATGCCATGAAGGAGGATTGTTTTCGAGATGATTACATTTAAGATTTAAATATAAACGAAAACGGGTTGTAATAATTTGGGCGCAAAACATGCCCAAACATGACCTGCCACCGGAATGGACCAAAACGCGTGTATCCCTCGCCTGAAATTCGACTTTTACACACGAACTCATTTCTTGAAATATTGGTGGGTAGGTGGCATCTGTGACTGACCACGGGTTGGTGTTTAGTGTTGGATATCGAATCTATTTATTGAATCGATATCCAACACTATTGGAGATAGCTCCTTCCCGGCAGAGAAAGCGCTGTGAGCGGTGATGAAAAGTGTTGAACGAAAAAGAAAGGAAGTAGTAGACAGAAGTGGGTACGAGTATTCCCACCCCTTTCTCAGACTAAAAGCGGGTACGCGATTTTTGCATTTCGGAGACCAATCGTGCGTGATAGGGAACAGCCGCTCGAAATGTTATCATTCCGATGCATGGAAAACATGGGCAGGGCCCATTCACAGCATGAGCATAAACTTTTACGAACTTTCGGGCACGTGTTCGCCGCCGCGCACAAGGCCTCAACAGGTTGCCCGATTTCGTCCGAAATTGCGGTGGTAATTTAATGGCCGTTTGAAACGCAGCGGTATTTCGCTCCAAATTTCAAATTTTCAAAAAAAAAGTTTGGAAAGGTTCCAAAAATGTGGAACGAACCATTCCAAACTTTTCGGCCCCTGCTTCTTTCCAAATTTTCAAATTTCCCAGAAAGAAAAATGTTGTTTGGGCGCCGCAAATCGCCGTTCGGTGTGTTTTCGGAACGATAATTTTGGAAATTTGGAAAAAAACCGCCGCGTTTCAACGGCCCTTATACCCCCACCGAAATTTCCTATTTTTTTCATGTACACCCACCCGTTTCTGCTGTGTGACCACTTTTGCGTGCGGTGCCGTGAAGATCGATTTTCGAATAAAAAATCGGATGAAAGTGGATACATTTCGGACAAAAGTGGGTCACACAGCAGAAAAAGGGAGGTGTACATAAAAACAAGAAAGTAAGTCGTAGATTTCGGTGGGTATAATGTGAAGACAACAACAATACCCACCGCCGGAAAGAATTCGGACGATATCGGGCAACCTGTTGAGGCCTTGTGCGCGGCGGCGGTGTGTAGGAAGGACAAGTGCCCGAAAGTCCGTAATAAATAGCACATGTTCATGCCCTGCCCGTGTTTTCCATGCATCGGCATGATATTTTGAGTGGTTGTGCCCTGTCACGGAAAAATTAAAGTTGGGTTAAGCCCGTTTGTTTCTGCCGCTCCTCCTGCCAACCAATATGAATACGAAGAAAGAATAGTACGATGGTGATAGGGGTTGCCCCCTGCCGCATCTCTCACCACGTAGCACGGTTTCATGGAGCGCGGCGCTAGAAGATTCTTGCTTGGTGTTTTTGTGTGAAAGCATCGAAGTTTGTCCGTTCCCGGTGGTCTCGTACGGTTCCAACCATGGTTTCGCCGATGGTGGCTCCTCGTTCCACCACATCACCAGATCTTGTCCATGCGAGAGCGACCATCTTTTCTCCCTTCACGGTTTGGTCTGAACCGCGCGGGTCATCCATGGTTTCACCGATTATTTTCTCAACCACATCTTCCAAGTTGATCCGTCCACAGCACTTCGGCCCCGTGCTGCTAGTCTGCGCGGGCCAACCATTATTTCACCGATTCCTTACTCAACCAGACCTTCCGAGTTGCTCCGCCACGGTTTTCCCCTATGCGGGCCAACCATTATTTCACCGATTCCTAACCCAACCAGATCTTCCGAAATGTTGTACCATCTCTGGCCCGTGACGCTGACTCCTAGTCTCAGTTGTTACCTTGCATAGCGCGCAGAGGGAGCGGAGGACTCCAGAATATCTGCCGATGATTTCTGTTGACTTGCGGACCCCTCGGGGCCAGATTATTTTCGTGTACCTTTGTAGGGTAAGTTAGCCTGTGACCACGGGAATCGACCGCGTCAAGTGTTGGATCAGTACGGACATATGAAAATACTGGGTAGAGAGCGATCGGAACGGTTTTTAATGTGAAGACAACAACAACCCACGCTCCGTGTGCGGGGTTAGCCATGGTTTCAACGATTCTTCGGTTGTAAAATCTTCAAGTTGCTCCGCCCGCGGTTCGGCCGGTGCGGGTCAACAATTTTTTTTCACGGAGTGGTCATGTCAGAGGAAAGCAACTTGCCCCTTTCCTCCCTTACCCTGCCCAAGTCAACCACATTGTTCACACCAATTGTTGCACTTTTCTATAGAAAGTCTACTCGTGGTTGACGAGAAGTTGCGGCAAAGCTGTCTAAATATCTGACCGGGACACCTTCGCTAGATGATTCCCCGCAGGATTCGTAGCGCGAAAGGTAGTATCTTGTACAAATTGGAATGTTGGAATGTTGTGGAAGTGGGCCGAAGGGCGTGTTTTGGGTGTACAAAGGGGGAGCCGTTGGACACAAAGGGGTGCACATCACAGGAAATGAGGGGAGGGGGGGGGGGGGGGTGCTCGGTTGCACCCTGCTGCACCGCGTTGCTGCTCAATGTCCGAAAAGCACACAGCATTAATACACCGCTACATCTTTCTACATGCTGTGGGATTGAAGGTAATATACAGTATACACCAGCCGCGGGCGTGTGCCCGTGGCCAGAGTAGGTAGGGCCATGCACCAATACCACGGGGGTCCCGCGTGCATGTTACCTCCGCCTGTTACAACAATTTTCCCCGCCGTTTGTGGGGGAGAAAATATTTGCGCGATGTTTTATCTGTGAGGTTGCTTGCTTGCGTGCGTGCGTGCGTGAAACCTGCCTCATGCCTCGTGTGCGATGATAGTGCTGTTTCCCTCATGCGCTTCGTACCCTTTTGCTTCCTTCTCCTTACTGCCCACCCTCATCGTCGTGCTTTTTTTTATCTTTCATTGCTTTGTATGCACAGTTCTTGCCCCCGACACATCCAATTTATTTTTCTGTCTTTCACGCCCCCACTAAGCCGATTTATAATCGGTAGTTCACGTCTGATACCCCCCCCCTCCTCCCGCCCACCGAAACAAATTACGCACGGCGCGAGCAGGAAGTGGACCTAGAGGACTACGTCAACAGGCCCGAGAAGGTTAGCGCGGCTGACATCTCCGCCATCGCGCAGGAGGCCGGGCTGCAGGCGGTGCGCAAGAACCGATACGTAGTGCTCGGCAAGGATCTGGACAAGGCCTACAAGAAGCACGTCAACAAGCACGACACCGAGCACGCCTTCTACTCCATGTAGAACTCCTGCCACGCCTAGTGTAGATACTTTTGAGCCATCATCATTTGGTGGGGGGGGGGCGTTGTATTGGTGCGTGACGGGGGTAGGGTGTGCACTCGCCACCCCCGTGCGGCGTGCGGGCGTGTCGTGGATACGATAGATCTTGCACCTGCCTGTCAACAAGCACGAGAGAGACGTATAGAAAGGAAGGGACTTTGGGATGGCGTTCCATCACGGCGTTCGTTCAAGGCGCTGCTGCTGCTGTGGTGTTTAGAACCTGGTTTGAGTAGTGGTTGACTGAGTCGGAAGGAACGCTTTTCTCGTTCTGAAGTACTGCCTGAATCTACTTTCGCGAACGGTGCGGCAGGAATGTTTCACGGAATGTTCCACGTGGTAACGAAATGGCGTGTCCGTTGTGGTTCTTTGAAGCGATGAAAATATGTTTTGTTCTCCGCACGGTCTTGAGAAAACGTTAACGCGAAGACATTAGGCGTAGAACACTCCATTGGAACAAGGTTATCGTGGAACAATTATTGCTGATTTGTCGTGGATCATGAAATACTACCGAATAGATGTATGAGCCACCCCCCCAAAACCAAACACGTGTTTTCGTGCGCCAAACAAACTGCCCACCGAGGGGATGATCACCGAGCCCGTAACCATGGCGAGGGTGCGGGAACGGCAGTGAAGGCCCTCTCAATCTCTCAATGCAGCATCGGAGTTGGATTTCTTTTCTTATCCATGCCTGGCAGCGGAAAAACCCCGGTGGCACGAAAACCTCGCCCGAACACTCCTTCCCTTTGACACGCGACATTTCATTCAAGGCAGGAAAATGTTCGCCATTGGAGGCCAATCACGATACATGCATCGTCCGGTTCGAGCCCGGTACATAGGCTACGATCTAGCCTACAAGGCCGGCTGTCTCAAGTCGGCGAAATCTCCCAGCAGTTGTTGGGCGAACAGCGGGCCCGCGGCCCGTCGATGCTCTTGAATCGGCATGCCTCTTCGAACCTCGTCGACCTTAGGCAGGTCTGCAGTACAACAGCACGCAGGCGGATGCGCGCGAGTAGCGGGGAGTTACTACGGGGTTGCTCCCATAGGGTAGGAACAATCAGACCAGTACGAGCAGGTTTGTAGCGGAGACCGGAACGGTTTCTTAATGTGAAGACCACAACAACTACAAATGTAGACGTCGAAGGGAAAAGAAGGAAAAATACTTGGTACATGTATGAACGGATGGATCAGGCCGAGTCGCCTTTGTCCACGGCACTCTTTCTAATCTTCTCAACTGGCCCAACTCCGAGAGAGGATACACGTATGTATCGCACCCAGCGAGGTGATGGCGTCTGGTGTGCGGTGCCAGGGACAAACAAATGGAAGGGTGGCATGTATACACCCCTCGAAGATTTTTCTGGAGAATGAAGCGATAGATGAAGCGATAGATGCCTACAGCTGTCGACAACCGGAAGACTCCGAACACCGCATTTTAAAAACTTCAGCTCGCGAAGAAAACCTAGAAAACCTTGCCAGTGACTTATGTAGGTTCAGCGTCAGGCGTTCCAAGATCCCCCTTCACCACACTACGGCCGACGAAAACCTCTGTTTCACTTGTTTCACACCCCTTTTCGGTCGTGGTTTTGCGTCACAGAGAGAAGCCCACGAGGTTGTGTAGGCGTGTGAGATACTTGTGAAGAGAAAACTCACCCAGACAGTCCACACCAGTTCACCCAAAGCTCACGATACAACCAACACGCACCCGACTGGTTTCGAGAAAGGGCAACGAACAGGCAAACCACGCTGTATCGAAGGCGATAACCATTCATTGGCACAGGTGCCCCCCCCCCCCCACCGCACCCGGCCGTGTCTTTACAGTAACTGCTCCCACCTATCTCCACTGTGCGGATACATGGGGACTCTTCGCTCCCCGCATCCGCCAAAACCTTTCCCCATGGATCCACGATGAGCGAGTGTCCGTAGGACGCCCGTTTCTCGTTGTGCTGGCCCACCTTAGGCGGCAGGAAATGGCCGGTATCACGGGGCACGAGCGAAGGAAAACAGGTGCAACACAACCTCTGATTACAACTAAGATGCAAAGCGCATTTTTTACATAAAAATGAACACAATTTGCTCTGAAATCCATGTTTCTTTCTCCAAATCAGATTCCACGCAACTGTCCTTGAATAGTTGGGTTGGGATTACAGGAAAGGAAAGGGGAGAACATGCAGCCCACAATCTTCGAGAGACCGGCTTGTTCATCTCTTGTTTGCACTAGTATTGATAGACTCCACCAGCACGCACGTCATTCATGAAGAGAGTGCTCTCATAGCTCAGTTGGCTAGAGCGTACGCTTAGTAAGCGTAAGGTCCGTGGTTCAACTCCGCGTGGGAGCTTTTTCTTTTGTTTTTCCTTCTTGTTCTCTCGCTTGTTTTTCTTGGTGCTGCCCACAAAAACGCACCTAAATAGTATGCATATATCTTGAGCCCGCACGAGTCTCTCACAAGTCCAACATGGAGGAGCCCGTGAACAAAACTGACCCATCCAAAGACAGAAAATCGAACATGTTGTAGATCACGACGCAGTTCATTCTCTACATGATACATGATATCCAACAACACTTACTGCTCTCCGCTACACATTGTCTCAATCAGATTCCCGGAGACGAACGACACTAACATAGCATACAGCACCTGCGGCTGTTTTGCACTACCGAGCTCTATTATTGTATCCCTGACGAACCGTTCCGGTTTATGCGCCACCAAATACCCGTGGCGATGATCGGTCAATTAACACATACGCATACATTCCCCAGGGACTGGGCAAGGGTGGCCGCATTCTCCGAACCCTTAGGACTCAACCCTTAGGGATACCGTGTAGGATCCCACACGCCTCGCCCGGCGCGCTTCCCCCGGCGCACGAGAGACAGACATGCTCGAGTCACGGAAACTTTGAGCGCGCCAGACTCGATCCCTGAGGCACAGGAAATACCACCAAGGCCAAGCCCAGCCGCGGGATCAGTGATGGCAGAGCGGTGCGCTATAGTTACAGCTACTGTACCTTCCCACCCACCTGGGCGGAAGCTATGACGTAAGCTTGTGTTTCGATAGCCCTAGCCCGTAGGAGGGTCTCCCAGTGGGCCTCGCCTGTGGGAACGGTGAAGGCGCTTGGAACTAGCACGACCTGGTGCAGAAAGAAAAACGTGTGCAAAAGTACGCCGAGACATCTTCCTGCATGAATGGGTTGTTGCGCGAGGTGGGCAACTGTCCGGCAAGGTGGCACGCAAGTCGAAGGGTCTTGGTCTTGGCATGTTTCAAGTGCCGGGATACAACGTCGATACATAGATGGTAGTGTCGATCTGCATACGGATAGAGAGAGTAGACAGCGAACGACATACACAGAGAGAGAGAGAGAGAGAGAGAGAGAGAGAGAGATAGAGAGAGAGACAGAAAAAAAAACACACACACAGACAGAGAGAGTGAGAGACGAGTCACTCTTGGCTGCAAATGCAGTAGGCAGTTTATGGGCGCACCTGGGAAGCCATACCGAGGCAGGTGTACATCTCTGGGAACCTCAGGTCGTAGCAGGTCGACAGCCCCAAGCTGCCAGCCGGAGAGTCGTCGCAAACCGACATTTCACGGCCCGCTTGAGTATATCGAGATTCCATGAGAACCGGGCCACCGGGGATATCCTGGCACCGCACGAAAATGTCAGAGAGAGTGGGCGGAGGTATTGCCGCATCGAAGTGCACGAAAAGGGTGATCACAAGCAACGTAGTATCGTTTTCATCTATCGGCGCCTAGATAATTGATTTTTTTCCTGTCGTTGCACCAACCGTTCATTGGAGGTCGAGTGCATCCCAGCAAACAAAATCTTAACGATAATAATTCTTTCGGGACGCGGATGCTGCGCTTACGACAGAGACAGAGACAGGGAGACGGAGAAACACAAACACACACACACACACAGAGAGAGAGAGAGAGAGAGAGAGAGAGAGATGGTCGAAACCGACATCACGAACTACACCTTGTTCAGCAGCCTGCGTTCACCCCCGGCTAGCACAATTTACATCCTGACCACCGCTTGACTATGCGACACTGGTACCCGTCTCTCCCTCCGTGCGTTCAAACTCGCGGTGAACCACGCCAAACAACACCAAACATAGCCTCCACTGGTCTACTGCCGTGGAGTTGACGAGGCACAAATGTGCGAGAGCAGCGATGTATCTCACTCACGACATCGAACAGGTGTATTTTTCGGTATGCCGCCCGGATGTCGCCGTTCTCGGAAATGACGACGTGAGTGTTGAACACCTTGCTCCGGTGGCTGGATGCCGGCGGAAAACAACGCGGTGAAGGCGTGGCGTGGTTTGGTAGCATGATGATGCGTAGCAGAGTGAGGTGTTGGACACACGGATGTTTATGTATTGGTGACAGTCGGACGAAACTTGACAAACTCAAGAGAGAGAGAGAGAGAGAGAGAGAGAGAGAGAGAGAGAGAGAGAGAGAGAGAAAGAGAGGAAGAGAGAGAAAATTAAAGTTGATTGCAGGTTGACGGGATTTCATCGACAATCAAAGCCCGTTCGCGTTCCGCCTGCTACTACGTGTGTAAACCTGACCATGACTGATGTGGCAGTCGTTCTACGATGTACTTATTAATCTTTGAGAGAAGAGTAACTCCTGTCCAGAGCCCGTCCGTCGTCGACTACACCCCATCGGGAGGGCAGGCTGTTGTGTTGCCACCTTCGTCGCCATTCGTGCGCTCTTTCGGAAACGTTGCACACGTGTAGACTATACGCAAAACGGCAACTACACGTAAGCTGCCGCGCAGCCGTATAAGGCGCCCCGATCATGTTGAATAGAAGGAGGAGACTAAGGAGACTTCCATCCAAGGCAACATGCGGCAAACATCGCCAGTCCCCTCCACCTGCACGTGAAGTCAGGAAATACCTTTCAGCAGCAGGAACGGGTTGCCGTGATTCTTGTGCCTCTTCCGTGGATGCTGTGTGGCGGGCGGGAGACACCGGTTCCGGTGGCACGCTCTCTTGGAACCCCCCAAGCGACAGCCACATGCCATGTTCCTGTAGAAAGCACGGGGCACCATGGCCACCGTGTCCCAGTACATGGTGCACAGTAAACAGCAGCCTACGGCGGTGCAAAAATGCAAGAATGTAGCAACATAGAGCCAATACCGCTGTACGTGTGGACCTCCTTGACTAGATACAACTGGACTCGGACTTCGCAGATAGCCCACGATCTCTATATATTCGCTGAGGGAGGTTGCATGCACAGTAGGGTACAACGGGGACATAGCAGAGTGCTATCACAAACAAGCATCATCAACAAAGAGACAGCTGGCAGCCCTGCTCGTGCTCGTGCTGCTACACAGTTGGCGAACGGGCAGGCACTCACCCTCGCGAGGCTGCAGTATCGATTCATGGAAGGTCCGGTCAGAGGTTCCGCCGCCTCGACAGCTTCCCGCCAGTGTTCCTTCGAAACGTTGTAGGAACACCGCAACAAACATTTCGACGTAGAGAGTATTGCTATGGGCGCCGATATCACCATAACTAGGAGACGCACGGGGGAGGGAGGACAGCACCATACGGGAATACATGCATGCGATAGCAGATTCCGGCGGCAGGGCTTGGGGAGCCCGCGGCCCGGAGATCGGAGTAGACAACACATACATGTAGGCCCATATCGCAATACGCAGCCGGTGTAGACCCAAACCGTTGCACCGTCGAATGGGTGCGGAGGGCCCATGGACACGTGTGGCCAAGATATATCTAGACTATTTGTGTCTCCCAATACGTGCCAGAACATCCAAATCTGAGAGAGGGATTCCAGTCACCCAACACGCGATCCGCGGTGCATCCCTCTGGCTGCATCAACCTGTTTCATGCCTTGCTCACCCCGATGAAATTGAAGCATTCCGGCAACGCAAGAAACGAGGCGCCCGCCTCTCGTGCCTCTTTTGCTAGCCTAGCACAGACCTGTAGGGGGCAACGTGGCAATGGGACATGCTGATTGCGTGATCATCATGACATTAATGTACCACATGTACATGTACACATGCATCATTCTCCGATCCTCACATGCATACTATTACTACTTCTGGAACATGTAACAATTTTGCTGCTGCCCTCCCACATTTGAAACCGGTTTACTGCCGTCGTCTGCCGTAAGTTGTTTAGTGTTCACAAGACAGCAAAGACAGATGGATGAACGAGAACATGTGTCCCGGCGAGCTCTGTTGTCTCCAAATCGAAAAGCATGTATTAGCTTGATCCAGCAGTGTAGACTAGTGTAGACAACGTTCTCCAAGGCAAATAAACGTTTTCATTGTTTACAATTGCACACACGAGAATGAAGGGTGGGCATATGTGCATAGATGCATAGATACAGTCAGAACTGTAGATGCATCAAGTTCCTGAACATCAGCATGCTACTGCTGTTGTAAAACATGGCAGGCCGGGCGGCACTCTACGATCTAGATAAACTAAAAAGGACGTATATTGCTGTACCAAACTTGTATCACCTGATAGTTTTGCAGCTTGCTCGAAGTAGAAGTCATTTGGCCGACCGCTACCTTCACCATGTTTCAATTGACACCACGCTCTTTTGCCCTAGTGGGGCAGGGAGTGCCGCTCTAAGAAGGCAGAGTAGAGACACAACACAGAACAACGCAGAGTGCGGGTAGCTGAGAGTATTTACTGATTTTTGGGAAGGGGTGGGTTTTCTCTCTTGCGGTGCCCCGCGTGCCCCTGCATCCAGGGCGGCGGGTGGAAATTTGCAGCAATAAATTCGCCGGAAAACCCTCTTCTGCTTGGCGTGCTTGCTTCGAAAAACCCCGGTGAAGGGATGGACGGCGGCAGAGAGGCGCTCACGGAACATACGTAGTGCCCGTTGTAGTACAGCACTTGGGGTGAGTGTGCGCCTTCCTCACAAAAAAAGTGTATACAGCAACAGCACTTACACTATAAGTCACCGTTCGTCTTCCTCTTCTCTCACTCACGTTTCGGAAAATATGTAAATAATAAGTAGTCCTTTTTCTTTGCCGCCGGCACCTCTACCTTCGTTCAGCCTCCTCTTCTTCTTCTCCCTCCGCCCAAGAAGAGTAGTACATAGTAGCGTAGAGACACACGTCGCCTCCCTGTGGCGCTTTGGTCGCTTTCGTCCGAACGCCGGGGTGGCATGGTGTCCTCTCAACGCGGTGATGGCAGCACCAAGCTTGGCAGCACCTAGGTCTTCCAACGTGCCGCAAAAATATGGTATTATTGATTGTCTATCCGTCACTGACTGCTGCAGTCTAGACCGACATTGATTGCAATACAACAACACAACGAACGGACAACAACAGCAGCAGCGGCAGTAGAAGCAGCAGCGGCACCGAAAACACACAAACGCGCGCGGCGACCCTTTCAGTTTTGGCACCTTCCTTGTTTTTCCGTTCAAAGAACCTATCTATACGTACAGAAGATAGATGCAATAATATATATATATATACACGTATACAGTAATAAATATCAATGCAACATAATCATCATCACCGACCGGCTGGCTGTGGCTGTTAGTTGTTGATGCCGCCACCACCAGGAGTAGCGACATATGTTTTTGCCGTGAAGATTTTATTCGCATATTTTCAATTCGTTCGTTTTCTCTCGATAGACATGTGGCGGCAGAGACACACACAGCAGGCACACACACTCACTCCACGGCGGTCCCCCGACACTGCCGTGCACTACTTTTATTTATTCACTCCGTCTTTAATTCGACACCACTGTAACCACACCAAACGAAGTGAGGTGGTTGGTGCAAAGCGCAACGTCATTTATTTAGTCAGCGTATGTATGTATGTATGGACGCGCCGTCGTTGGAATAATAATAACTCCTTTCCCTCATCTTCTTGCTCTCATCTTTCAATAAATTTGCATCACACAAAATCATCATCAACCATCCAACGGATGGATGATGGAACGATGGGATAATATACGGTATCAAATAACTACACAGCTGCCTTGTACGGAAGAACAACGAAACCACCAGAAAGGAGGATCAATCGCTGAGCGAGCTTTGAATGAAGACCAAAATCAACATCAAATCGCACAAAACTCTTCTTGGGTCATCAACAAACTCCCTACAATACAACATGCAACAACAACAGTAGGACCACGCACGCCTGCCTGCCTAAAAAAGGCTACATACATGACATACATACACACCAATGTGTTAGGGATGCATGCAGGACTCTCACTTTGCTGACATATTATATTATGTAGATATCTTCAATCTACACTCTGACGAGGAAAAATTGCAGAAAGACGAGAGCCCGCCGTGGGAGAGGAAGAAGTGCGAGCAACGATCTGCTTCGCACGCATGATGATGCATACATGCATGTCCTCCGCCGACATTCAAGAAGAGCATGCATGCGCTTGCCGTGAATACCCCCGCCTCCTGCAGCTTACTACAGTACATGCGCCCGAGCCCTGTACAACTGGTCTAGTATGTGGATACGACGTTTGGTTGCTGATGTACGGACAGCAGCCAGCCGCATGTGGCATCGACAGAGTAGAGAGAGCGAACGAGGATGAAGACATAATAAATAAGTCTACAGCAGCATCAGCAACAACATCTGCATTTTCTTGCCCTCTGAAAAGAGCGGTGCGTATTATTCTGATGATGACGATGCTGCTGCTGCTGTAGGGGCATATGGGCCAGAGAGCTCTCGTGCAGCAGCAGCACCACACAGTTAGTGTGGGCAACAGTTGTGCAGGAAGAGCGCGGCCACCTAACTAAGCAATGCGCCAACGGCACAGAGAGAGATGATAACAACGTACCTGTACGGGGTGTGCACAGAGTCGATTCTTTTTTGATCTCTCTCAGATCATCAAACCTCGGATTCATGAAAATAGATGAAAGCTTTCCTTTGATATTGTATGTATTGTAGAATCGCAAAGAATCACACAAGATAAAATATCCGGCTCTTTCGAATGAACGTGATCTCCAATTTCTCTTCACTTCCGTCAGTATACAGAAAAACTTTGCCCTGCTGACCTGGGCGGATTGGAGACCAGCCCCATCGCACACCTCACCTCTTCCCTCCCCATCCCCTGCTATTACAGACCCTCAGACTTCGGTCACTGCTGTGATCACCCAGCGGGAGAGCGGCAGCAGCAGCAGCGGCAGCGCTTTGCGCACAGAGGACTGTTGTGCCCAAGAAACCTTTCGACTCTCTTCTCCCCCAAGCCGAGCCCTTTCTTTTCTGCGCCAAACCAGAAATCTCCGCACGACGCACGCCAGCCCCCCAGCGCTCCTACCACCTTGCAATATACCACACCCAGGCCTGCCTAGCGACCACGCGCGGGACAGGGCAACGCGTCTCTAAGTTTCATATAAGGCACCGGCGAGGCCCGCGGCTCGCGACTTGAAGGGGAGGTTTGCAGCGCCTGCATCTCCGAGCGAAGAGCGGTTAGTGTGTATCGTAGGAAAAGCAACAAGCATGAGCTACCAGCAACAACATCAGGGCGCGCCCGATGGCAGCCGGCGGCAACAACAAGCCCCACCTTTCCCTCTCTTGGGCACAAACGGCGCCGCAGCAGCGGGGCGAGCACCAGCAGCCGGAGTGTACGGCATGCCACAGCAGTACGGGCAGCAGCAGGTGACTGTCTGGCTGGCTGGCTCGCTGGCTGGCTCCGGCTTGCGCAGGCTGTCTGTGCATATCTTTTGTTGAAGAACGGAAGGAAGGTCGTGTGTGTGTCCGCTCTCTCTCTCTGGGTCCAGCTTGTGTTCCAACCGATTTGTTGCTCGCGTGTGTGCATGTCCAACTCTTTCTTTTTTGCCGTACACCCCCGCTGCCCGCTGCCCGCCGTCTGCTGCTCTCTGTCCCTGCAGCAGCAACAAGCTGATGGCTACGGTGGACCCCCTCCGTCGCCTGTGGTGGCAGGCAGCTGGGGAGAGAGGACGGGCTACGTAGAGGAAGGGTACATGAGACAGGACCCGAACATCGTCGCGGGGGCGGGAACCCCGATCGCATCGACAACCTCTGGGAACGGTGAAGGAACGTTCATGGTGTCCACGGGCGGGTGAGCACACACGGTTGAAAGCAGCAGCAGCAGCAGCAGACGGGGGATGCTGGCAGCAGCATGTCACCCTTTTGCGCAGCAGAGAAGCGTGCCTGCTTGCCGTGCATATTTTTTAAGTGCACACCAGCACGGTGGTGCACGGCCTGTCCAGAGATATGTAGTAGATGCGTCCGCATCCCGGAGTGAGCGGCATGTCGTATTTTTTGCTTCTTGTGTGATCGTCTTTATAACGACGTGTGTCGCTCTTTTCTGTGCGGATTTTATTTTTTTCGGTTTTAATTGCTGTCACCGTCTTGTTCTCTCTCTCCGCTGCCTCTCGATCCGACTGCCGATGCGCTTGCGTGTGTGTGCATGATGTCCGCACGGTGGCTGCCCAATCATTGCTGGTAGGATCGCGCTCGACGCTCTTCATCAAGATCCATCCCGCCGAAGCCTCCCCCCCAAAACGGTGTGCTGCTTACGCAGCCGCGCCTAACAAAATGGATTCCGTTCGCTCCTCGCGATCTTACTACTACTTGCTCGATGTGTGTTCGGCTCTGATAATATGGTCCTTGGTCCTCGTGTGTTGTAATTTCTTTTTGGCGGCAGCGCGAACGCTATGGGAGCACCGATGCAGTCGTTCTACCCGCCGTCCTTGTACGGCGTGCCTACTTCAGTCTACCCTTACCAGCAGCCGGGAGCGTTCCCTGGGCCTTACGGTGGCGGGGCGGGCGGCGGCGCGGGAGGCACTGCGGGAGGCGCTGGTTCAACGGCTGGAGGAAACTTTTACGCCGGTGAGGACAGATCGATCGGTCGACCGACCACCGAGACACAGCGGGCAAAACCAATCGTCTTTTCTTGATCCACATTATGGGTGCATGGCCGGTCGGCGGCGCGCGGTGCTCCGGAGGACGCTGCCCCCAGTCCTAGCGCGTGCCGTAAACATCCCGATAATCGGAAACCGGTACACACTGGTGCAGTTTTGGCGTAACGGAACCGGGTGCAAAAAACTGCCACCCGGACCGGACTGACACCGGCAGCCGTGGATACAAGTTTGGGGATCGAGGTTTTTGTAGTGTGTTTCCCGGAAACGAGTGTAACATACAGCAGTATTTAGTTTCGCGGACGTACCGCTGTACCCCCTCTCTGCCTTGTTGCTCTCGGTGTCCCGCCGGGCGCTTAATAAAGGGCTTGTGTCTGATCTATCTGCAGTCGGCAGGCAAATGGGGCGCTGTCGATCGATATTCGTGATGTGCATGCGACAGCGGCGGTTATCCCGGCCGGCCGGACATGTAGATCATTGTCTACTACTATCATGTCTTGGTTTTTACTGCACAGCGCCGTCGCGCCCCGCGTAATGAAAACAGCCCCCAAAGCTTCGTCGGCAAAAGTTGCTCCCGCTGCGTCGTCGATACACGACCATGCATGCCTCCGGCGCCCGCATCACCAACGTACGCCGATTGTTCGAACATATATGCTATACTCCACATTTCCACACCTCCAAGAATGCCACTGGGTCGGTTAGCCTCTATTTTTGGCGCATGTCCCTTTATTGTGCGGTCGGAAGTGGTGCCACCACCAGCAGCGGAGAGGGTGGAGCTTCGCACCAGGAACATGAACTACTGCTGTCTGTGGCAGTCGGTGAACCAAGGCGTTCGGGAAGGCCGGCTTGCCCATGGGCCGGTGACGGGCCCCGAACCCTGGCTAATTTTTTTGTTTATTTCCCATTTGTCGTCGTGTGTTTTCTCTCCATACCGTGGCCATCTTTTCGCTTCGACGCCGCCGCGCCGGCCGGGAGAACAGGCCAGGGCGGTTACGCTAGGAGCACTAACCCGGGCCAGCCCATCCAAACCACGACGAACCTCCAAGGTACGATACGAATGATGTATAGATAGGCAGGGGGCATCTATCTATCTATCTATCTAGGCAGCAGCTCTGCTTCTTCTTGCGTTCGCCAGCCGACAGAATTTTCATTCCGCGTTCGTTCGTGCTTTGGTTTTATTTTCCATAAAAAAAGAATGCTTGTTGGGTCTCTAGGCTAATGTTTTCGGGAGTCCGAGGTCTGCGTGCTTGCCCCCCCCCACGATTGCGTGATGTACTGTAATTCCCAGGGCAGTCCCTAGTTGATTTTGGTCTAACGACGTTGAGAGTCGTTCAGATTTTTTCTTCCCGTGGCTGCATGCAGTCCATGGTCAACCTATCTGCGAGGGCGTGCTTGCTCGCCGGCCCAAATAATCGATTTTCCGACGGGTTGTTTGTTGTTCGGGTTCGGGGAATACATTCACATGGACACACGTACACAAAAATTAGTTCCTGTTCGAAGAGCGAGATAGATATACCGACATGAACGCTTGAGTGTCAAATTGATTCCAGCTATCATCGCGCTGCTGGCGACGAATGAATGATGTCGCCCGCGCGTGTACAACGAGTTTTTTCGTACCAAACATTAACACGCTCTTCTTGTGGCCTTTATCGGTTAGTCACCGTCTCGTGCTGAGATGATCACACAAAACACAAAGCCAAACTTGTGTTCCTTTCATGCATGCATACATTCGTGCGATGATGCTGCTGCTGATGATGATGGTGCGAGAGCAGCGTTCGTTGCTTGTGCGACGAGCGAGCGTTCAGACCTCAAAATACTCCACAGGAAAGAAGAAAAAGTGATGCGGGGTTGACATTTTCTCGTGTGCCGACGACTTGTACATGAAGGTGCAGCACACGGCTTATTTACGAACTTTTCTTCAGACAATAAATCTCTTCTCTGTGAATGCCCTATTCCCGTTTTCGTGTTTTGTAGAGGACCGAGTACATTCGTACAACGTCCAGTTTTGCATCGCAGCGGGGGTTTCATGGACGCGTTTTGTACCTCGTGCAATTTCATGCTTGTCTTGTATCTGTCTCGCTATTCTTTTTGTGTCTCCTGCCATGGCCGTCAGAATATTTTTGCAGCTCTGCACACAGACATCGCGTGTGGACCCGCCACACTATTGTAGACGTAGATGATGCGCCACGGACACCGTTTTGTTCGCACGTGTTGCCTCATTGGTGGAAGCGTTAGGCAATCAATCAATTAATCAATCGATCAAGACGATTCTCCTATACCCGAGAGAGGCATCAATGTGAGATTCACATCCGTCCGTCCTGACGTTGAGGTACCCTTTGTTTGTCATGCCACGGTAACGTTCCGATGCATACCACCCCAACACGGGACGGATTGGCAGGGCCGGACGGGTGCAACCTGTTTGTCTTTCACATCCCCAACACCATGACCAACGAGGCCCTGTTCCGTCTCTTCTCCAAGTTCGGGAACGTCATCAGCGCTCGCATCATGGTCGAGAAGGCTACGGGCCGCAGCAGGGGCTTCGGTGAGAAAACACACGGCGGAGCCGACAGACGCTTTTTATTGGCTGCCGGCCGGGCACCATGCGCCTTTTGTTTCGCATTTGGTGTCAGTTGAGCTCGTTGATGGTACTCAAGGGATCTCGACAGCTTACCACTGACGCGTGGTTGTCGAGCCTCCCCCCACCTATGCTTTAGGAGAGACGGCCAGCAGGAAACCTGCAGTCTCGCCTTTGCCGTGGTATCTACAGGATTGTCATCACATCATCCGTTTTGTGGTACTTCCGCCCTGGTGCCCGAAAAAAACACTTGTTGCCTGCGTACCATGGGCGTGTTTTTTTTCGCGCATGCATGCGCGCGCCTGTTTTTGTGTGTGGGGCAGGGGACTTGCTCCCAACCGAAGAAAAATTTGTTGTTTAATCGATTTTTGTTTGCAAATTCCCGTTTCGCCGTGGTGCTTCCGTCTGTCCCCGCAGGGCCCTTTCGCCCCCCCCCCCCCACGGCTGGCGTGGGGTCTGGTTGGTTTCGCCATGTGTACATTTGCTACATATTAACCTGTGGTTGGCGACCGGACCGCCAGGGTTTGTGAGCTACGATAACAGAGACTCGGCGGAGAAGGCTATATCTCAGATGAACGGGTACCAGGTGTGTGGCTATGGTTGTGTGTCGCGCGCCCGTGGCTTTGGATGCCCGGACCAGGTCACCCAGCTGTAGAGTAATGAGTGTGGATGGTATACGGTCTTGATGGGCACGTCGAGGAGCGAGGGAGAAGACGTACTGCTGTTTTGTAGCGCAGTGAGGTAGGTTCATGCGTCCTTGAAAAAATTGAGACAGCAGTTTCGGTACGCTACTGCTGTGCCGAGGTCCCCACACGCACGTGCAGCAACGAGAAAAACACGACGTCACGCAGAAAACTGCGTGAGAGATGTGCATGCAGGGAGAGACAAGCACATGAGCTACGCCGTTGTACCAACAACCTGCGAGACTTGAGCGTGGGCGGCACCCCTGCTGCGGGGCGTGCCTCATCGGATGCTGGTTGGCAGCAAACTTCTCGCAAGAAACGCAATCCTGCAAACACCAAACACCACGATTATTTTTTGGTGATATTTACTACGGACGGTCCGCACGCAACCCACTGGTCGCGTGACTTGTGTCAAGTGAAGATACAGATGTTAGATTAGACTGACTTTTGTCAAGTGAAGATCGATGGTGACTTGTGTCTAGTGAACGTGTTCTCAACAAGACACCAGAAGGAAAATGTTAGACGTTAAATTATCGCCCGCCCGCCCAGTTCCTTGGCGCTAGGTTAACGCCCCCCCCCCCCCCCCT